CACTGACAAAATGGTATATCAGACAAAATGGCAATAAAATATTGTAAATGTTAATCAGTTCATGAGAAAATTGAATTTGGTTGTTTAAAAAATATATGAAACCTAGGTCAATATTGAGAATTCAGCCAAGTTCACACTCACCCTCCATCTTCCCTCCTTGTAAAAAAAAATTCATAGCTGTCATACATCTTTGGTGAACATCCTGAAGATGAAACATGGAATTGAATCACGAAAACAAATTTAGTATAAATACTAGATTCTTTATTTAAATATTGTACATATTTTAAAACATATTTACATAAATTAGACCTGCATTGTTACACTGTATATACACTGACATGGGTGTGTCTTTCACACGCACAAACATCGCTTGCTTGAGAGATGACAATCGTACCATACAGACTGCAGAAGCACCTTTGAGAACAACTTGACATTTACATTAAACACAATGTGGGGGAGACGAGACAAGCTTGCAATGGCAGGAAAGGCCTCTTGATTACAGGTGTAGCTATTTGTTAAGGCTGAATCTGTGCTCACCCACACACCCACACACAATTTAAGTTCACAGCACCATTACCCATCTCACCACCCCCCCCTCCTGCATATAGGTTACATCTCTGTCAAATGTAGCTCCATCTTTATCGTCAATACAAGTTCAGAAACTTTTTGCAAAACCTTTCTAAATACGACAACAGGATGCAAACGAGTGAAACGAACTAACACAGAATCCACAGAGCAGAACATATTCAAATAACTTGCTGCAAATTTGTGTTTATGTAAATGTGGTAATTTTTCTCGCACTGCTGAACCATCACATAAATGAAGTGTTTGTAGCATCCTGCTTTCAGTGCAAGAAACAATTTCTCCCAAGACTATTTAAAAGGAACAACACAGTGACAATTCTGGTCTCCACCATTGAAATGTTATCCTTACAGCAGGGCTGAGCAGTGCCCTTATCTTATATTTATATATGGCTTTCCTTCTTTGGTTTATAAACCTGTCTTAGACTTTGTTATAGACACACACTCACTTATAACTTAAACCAGAATTATGATACAACCTTTACTCTCAACAACTTTAAGCACAGAAAATATACTTCAACGTCCTTTGGAACATTTCCAGCCACACTTCTGGCCATTACACAAAACTCAGAGCACAAGGGCTTTACAGTATTGCTGCATGATATTTGTAACAACAAACACAAAGAAATTTAGTGTTTGGTGCACCTGCTTTTAAAGACATTGTCCAAACCAATCGGGCGTTTGACACAGGGACAGACTATCATGGGCAGAACAGTATTATTATTATTATGACTGATTTACGTCATCAGGACACACACACACACACACACACACA